GCATAAGTTACTGACATTTTCTGCTTTGCTATCTGAAAATTGAAGTATTCATCAATTAATTCACTGAAGCTGATGGTGTAGCTTGACAGTTGAGACTTGTCCTTCTGCAAGTGAAGGATATAAAGTGAAAAATGGCTGCCTACACCACAGTGTCATATTCCATTTCCTGTCTAGAACATTCTGCTTGCCTTGCAGTGCCAGAGGTAGAAGGAGAGGCAGAGAGCATCAGTTCCCTGTGCTCACAGATCACCAGTGCCTTCAGCACACCTCCTGAAGACCCCTTTTCCTCCGCCCCAATGACCAAGCCAGTGACACTGGTGGCACCACAGTCTCCTGTCTTACAAGGTTGGTAACCTCTGACCTCAGTTGTTCTCCTTAAACAATCATGTTAGCATCCTGAGCTTGCCTTATCCTCATCTCCCTGCCCACCCAGCTCTTGGGGCTTTGCTCAAACCCCTCCTGTCTCCTAATGTCCGCTTTCATCATTTGGCACATATATGTCTGTCTTTCATCTGCTATTAAGAGTTTCTGTAACCTCAGTCCACCGCTTTATTTTCCTCTTAAGAGTCAGAGCAGCCAGCCAGCTTTACAAAATCAGCAACTATCAGGAGTGGTTCGGACTCTGGGCCTTCTAGCATAGTGATTCCCCACCAAGGACAATTTTGCCCTCTCAGAAAATTCGGCCTTTCTTGTATGGAGACATTTTGGGAGGGGATGTTAATTACAGCATCAGAAATCCTGCCAAACGTCCTTCAGTGTGTAGGATGGGACCCACAGCAAAGAATTACCCATTCCAAAATGTCAGTGGTGTCAAAGTTGAGGAGATCTGGACTCACCTCCTCTCTTCTGAGAGGCTTATAAAGTAGAAGCCTTTCTGCAGTTCTCTGGTTCATTTTATGGTCTATAACAAGTATCCTAAAATTGCCTTTGTGACAACAGAGTTACACTCCAGGATTGGAGCCCCACACGCCCAGATGCTAAATAAAGTCCTCACTCATGGATCAACGGAGAATTTATGTCACTTAAGTCAGTGACTTCTGAAGTAAACGCCAGCATGGTTTAGTCCATCTCTTTGGAGAGTGCAGAGAAAGGGCTGCCCTGCAGGCAGTGCAGGAAGAAGCTGCCATACACCCTTGGCTTTGGTCTAAGTCTGGAGCTCTGTCTCTTTTGAAGCAAATGCCATATGTGCTTTATATCATAGCCTTTCTATCCAGCTGACAGACATTTGTAGTATTAGAAAAAATAAATTTGGTCTATTGAGCACTAAACAGTGCCTGCCACAGTGGAAAAACCCTCACACGTTATCTTAGTTAAACCTCAAATAGCTCTTTGAGGAAAGCATTACAAATAAGAAAAAATGACTGGGTGGTGCTGCCACAGGCCTGTAATCCCAGCACTAGGGAGGCAGAGGCAGATGGATGTGTGAGTTCAAGGCCAACCTGGTCTACAAAGTGGGTTCTAGGACAGCCAGGGCACAAAGAAACCCTGTCTCAAAAAAACAAGAAAAGAAAAGAAAAATGAGGCCAAGAGGCTAAGAGACATGCCCAGACTGTACAGCTAGGAGTTAGTCAAATCTTCCTGGACCAGTTACATCCCACTGGCCCTGACTGCTGAACAGAACACAGTCCTTGTCTTTAGAGGGCATCCAGTTTATGGCTAAGGTGGTTTTGTTGTTCAGCCCCAGGTAAACTGTGTGGTTGTCCACTCCTAAAGAAGGTGAAGACAGAGTTTATCACAGGGCAGGGGAAGGCACTTGTCTGCTCTGTGCTAAAGATGGAGAACCAGAACACAGACTAGAACCTGATAGAGCGATCAAAGGAACAAGGGTTAGGAGGCTTGGGTACAAGGAAATGAGAAAGATCAGCACTTTGGGATGTTATAAATATTACCTGGGTGGGGAGTCTTAAAGGTATAAAATTAATTTTGTAGTAAGTGACAATTGTATTAAAGTACCTGAAAACACATACCATTTGATTTCTCACTTGTAGACATACTAGAGTATGTATTCATGGTCTCTGTTTCTGAAGTTTCAATTGTCTGCGGTTAACTATCTCAAAGTATTAAATAGAAAATTCCAAAAAGAATTCATATATTTTAAGTTTTTACAATATGTTCTTACAATAATTGTTATTAACCCCTCAGTGTGTCTAGCTTATAGATGAAACTTTATCCTGGGTGTGAAGGTATAGGTAAAAACCCAGTATTATATAGGGTTTGCTACCATCTGGTTTTTAGGCATCTGTAGAACATCTAGGAACTTATTTCCCAATCCCAGAGTTATGGGCTTTTGAAAGAATTAAATTTGATAATGTATATAAAATATTGTTAGCTTGATTCCCAGAATATACCAAGAAATTACTATACTCAACTTGCTATTGTTATTGGCCTGATTTGATCTCTTGGAAAAGTATAGAACGAGATGTGCTTTATCTACTTAATTAATCCAAAGCCTAGTTCTTGAACAATCATGTTCAACTTAATTTGTATTAGTTAGGCTTCATTTCCTCTCTCATACATATTTTCATAGAACAGTCATTTGATACTGTGTATCCACTGTAGGAAAGCATGATCACCCCAACACCAGCTTTGCTACCTTGTCTGCCCCACTGTATAGTGCATTGGCCTGGCTGGCCCATCTCCATGGAGTAGCTTGGACACCCTGCATGAATTAACTCCATCAATGTTGTCTGCTCCCATTATAGCTAATGGCACTGACTCAGCCTTCCATGTGCTTGCTGCTAAGCCAGCCAATACTGCTCTAGCACCCGTAGCAATGCCTGTGCGTGAAACGAACCCTTGGGCCCATGCCCCTGATGCTGCTAACAAGGAAATTGCAGCCATACATCCGGGTAAGGTGGCCACAGATATTGAAGTGGATTCTGGGAGCAGGTTCTAAAATCAGCCAGTTACCTAAGTGAAGACTATAAAAAATATATTCCTTCCCAGACAGAAGTGGCTGTGAAAACAGGCTCTAAAGCTGGGACAAGAGGGTAAGCTGGGAGGCTCTCGGGACTGTAGAACTCTAGAGCATTAGTGAGCCACCGTTCCCTGCAGCACCCTTATTGCTGGACTTAACAGCACACACAGCTGCCTATAGATAAAGGCAGCTACCAAAAATGCCATGAAGAACACTTTTTTTTTACACCAACTTTTCTGGAGTGTTTTGAGGCAGGATCTCACTATATAACTTTGACTGGAACTCACTCTGTAGACCAGACTGGCCTCCAACTCAAAGACCTACCTGCCTCTACCCCCTGAGTACTGGGATTAAAGGTGTGCACTACCAGTCCTGACTTTGTGTTTTTAATTATCCATGTTTTGGGGGTTTTGAGACAGTCTTGCTACGTAGCCCTAACCTCTTGGTCCACTGCCTCAGACTCCTTGTTCTGGGAATGCAGGCATGCACCATGTGTCCAGCTCTTTGACATCCCCCTCCCCACAAGAGAATAAGCTAGTTCTCTACTGTGGCTGCACCATGGCAACTTGATAGACTTTTCACACCTGTCGGCTGCCTTGGATCAGGGGTTTGAGCCATAGCTGAACAGCCTCAGCATGTCTTCAGATAAGCACAGACTCAGACAGGTTCTGCTTGTCCTCCTTGGCTGGTGACACTTCAGTTCCTCTACCAGAACCACAAGTGTCCCATCATGGAGACATGTTCCACACTTAGATCATTTACATAACCGAGGTTATCAAGAACGGCCTGCCTCTAATTCTTCCTCCCTCCCTCTGTCTTGTTGGTTCTAGGGACTGAGTGGGGTCAGTCTTCTGGTGCTGCCTCTCCAGGTCTCTTCCAGGCTGGTCACAGACGTACTCCCTCTGAGGCTGACCGTTGGTTAGAAGAAGTATCAAAGAGCGTCCGGGTCCAGCAGCCACAGGCCCCAACTGCCCCTCTGCAGCCAGTTCTTCAGCCGCCTCTACCTACTGCCATTGCCCCGCCAGCACCACCTTTCCAAGGAAATACATTCCTCACCTCTCAGCCTGTCCCAGTGGGTGTGGTCCCACCCCTGCAACCAGCCTTTGTCCCTGCCCAGTCCTACCCTGTGGCCAATGGGATGCCCTATGCAGCCTCTAATGTGCCTGTAGTGGGTATCACCCCTTCCCAGATGGTAGCCAATGTTTTTGGCACTGCAGGTCATCCCCAGGCCGGTCATCCCCATCAGTCACCAAGCCTGGCCAAGCAGCAGACATTCCCTCAGTATGAGACAAGTAGTGCTACCGCCAGTCCCTTCTTTAAGCCTCCTGCTCAGCACCTCAATGGTTCTGCAGCTTTCAATGGTGTAGACGATGGCAGGCTGGCCTCAGGAAGCAGGCATGCGGAGGTCCCTGGGGGCACCTGCCCAGTGGATCCTTTTGAAGCCCAGTGGGCTGCATTAGAAAGCAAGTCCAAACAGCGCACTAATCCCTCCCCTACCAACCCTTTCTCCAGCGACTTACAGAAGACGTTTGAAATCGAGCTTTAGGCAGTTTCTGCAACGTGTCATTTTCTGTACTTAGGCAGAGGAGCAAAGGGGACTTTGCTTTCCTGATCAGTACACTTTTTACTAATCCCAAAGGTCCCAAGGAGCGAGTCCAAGCTCAGAGTACAGTGAGGGGTGATGTCCAGAGAGGAAAGCACTCCTGGAGAGGACCACTCTGCAGCTAGGCTAGAGAAGTCAAGGAGACGTTGCCTTTTGACCGCTCTCATACCCTTACAAATCTCTGGCAACAGAGAGGCAGAAATATCTGAAGAGGAATCTGTATTCAAAGCACATTTACTGGAATATAAAACGTAACAGTGAGCAAAACAATCTCCCTTTGTTTCTCAGGCCAGTCACCCATAACGTCCCATACTGGCCTGGCTGAGAGCTTGGTGAGCAGTGTGGCCTGTGCAGGCTGGGACGCCAGGCAGGCCGTGCTGCCCTGTTCACAGGAGCGCTCAGCAGCAGCCCAGCAGAGCTGTGTACTGGGGAGAAAGCTGAGCTTCCATTTTGAATAACAGAATAAATATTATAAATATATATATATCAAAAAAGCCAAAATCTTTATTTTTATGCACCTAGAATATTTTAAATAGTTCTCAATATTAAAAAGTTGTATGAGTTGTAAGTAATCTTGCCAAAACTGAGCGGGTTAGTTGTAAGAAATTGTACATAAGATTGATTTATCGTTGATGCCTATTGAAGTAAAGAGGGAGGGTCGGGAACTGTGGGCAGGAGCCCTGGCTTGTCTGTGATCATTCACTGTAACTAGCACATGCAACAACAATCATACTGATGACCAGTACAGCCACTAGGTTGTAGTTTTAAATAAAATGAAAACAGTGTTGTTCTTGTTTTAAACCTATGGTGAAACTCTAATGTCATTATTTTAATGGAATCAATCTACGCTCTAGAGAATGTGTATTATCTTATGTATCATTGCAGTTTCCTTATGTTAATCCTTTATCATTAAGGTGACAGTGACATAGTCATACCAGAAGGGAATGCAGTCTGTTGTGTTGGTTTGTAGTATGGGTCTTAATGGGTTTTGTCCTTAAAGTTTCGTTCCCGTAAGTTTTATAGGGATGAGGATTCTGGATTTATCTGTTCTGTGTGTCCGTTTCCCCTCCTCCCCACCATGAACAGAGCAGCCCATGCCAGTTGCAGCTACTTGACCTCGGGTAACAACGTGAGACCCCATCTCATTTTTACTTTTGAACGTTGGCCTTACAATCAAATGTAAGTTATATATACATATATATATTTGTACTGATGAGAATTTATAATCTGCTTTAACAAAATAAATGTTCGTGGTAGAAGCTTTTGCCCATGAAGGGCTGTTCTTATTTGCAAGTGAACTTCTAGTTCTGTTTTTTATTTCTCTCTACTGCCGGTTTCTAGTTTGGGACTAGTGTAGTCCTTAGCTGTCATGGGTGCATCAATGGCTGTGATGCTGAGTTGATCTGCAGCAGCAGCATGGACCACACCCAGAAGCCGGGACTCTGAGTGGTGCCGTATGGATAGAGACAGGGTCTCACTATGTCGTCCTGGCTAGCTTCGAACTCGGAGAGATCCTCCTACCTCTGCCTCTCAGTGTGCCACCACTGCCTGACAGCACGGCTTCTCAGCTTTGGCTGTATATTGGAATTCCCTGAGGTGCAGCTTAGTGGAATGTGAACTCAGCATGCCTGAGATCTCCCACCATCTCCCACTGCGCATGCACACCCACACAAATACCTATAATACCAGACTATTCACCAGCCCAATTAAATCAAAATTTCAGTGAGAGTACCAAGCTGTGCTTCAGATCTTGAGGAGTGTGTTTCTGGCGGTTTGTTACAATCTGGTTAGCAGGGTAAGCACCCCTGGTCTAGAGCAGTTTACTGTCGCTGCTCAGCTTCCTGCTTGTACCTGCAGACAGCTGACCCCAGCTGTTTCTCAGCTCTTTCCTGAGCAAGATTATAGGCATGCACCACCATTCCCAGTGTGGGTTCCAGGTCATACTCAGGCCATCAGGCCTGGCAGTGCATGTTTTAACACTGAGCCATCTCCCCAGCCCCCGGCTGCTGTTTTCAGCATAGTTCTGACTCTAGCAACAAGTGCTCTGCTGCACAGATTCCCCCTCAGGGCAGCCCAGAGCAGGCCAGTGGGCTGTGTGCCCCCTTGCTGAGAATGTCCCCTAACATCACTATAAACTCCATACAGTGATAGTATTGAAGCCAGCTGGGCCACTACCAGGAAGATGAAGAGGCCTGGAAGACAGCTCACCGTCTGACCCAATGACTGGGTTCTAGCATAGAATACTCTGAGCAGTTGCTGCTACTGCTACTGTCACGTGCCTCCCTCCCCAGCTTGCTCTGTAATGTGGTGAGTGGATCCTCTATACAAATTGAGCATCCCTCACTCAAAATCAAACATACTTCTCGACGTTTTCGCAGGCTGACATGGCATTTGGGCGTTTTCGGCTTCCAATCATTTCAGATTTTTAGATTAGGGATGCTCCACTAGTAAAGTCTGCAAATATTTCAAAGTTTACAACACTTTGGTCCCAAGCATTTCAGATAAAGGATCCTCAACGCAGCAGGAACTATAAAGAGAAGGTGTAAAGGAACAGTTCTGTATAGGTGGAGTCCTCTTCTCAGCAACCTGACGTCATAGCACACAGACCCTGCTGAGCACTACAGGGGGAGGCTGGCACTGGCAGCTGCTGGGGCTTAACTCTGGCTTCCCGAGAGGTGACTCCTCCGCAAGCCGTGTCTTACCATCCCTTCTCCCCAGCAAACCATCCGGAACCGGCGCCACAGCTAGCCCTCATCCCTGCTGCCAGTCAGGCTGAGCATTTGGCTGGAAGCGAGAGCAGCTGGCACAGCAGAAGCTGGAGTAATATTCATTGCCACAGAGCTGGGCCTGCAGGATCAAGGCACAGTTGGCCAGCTCCGGCTGGTCGATGCACTCCCTGCCCAGGTCCCTGGACTGAGCGACTGGTGCTGCGGAACAAGAGAGAAAGGGCTGAGGCAGCTCCCCTGCCACAGCTTCTCACCTGGTTCACACATACTCGATCAGCAAGAAGGGATTACGGCTTCCGCTCCTTGCTGACCTCACTAGTGGTCCTCCTGTTTTACCTATCTGCGGTCTCAGCCCAGTGCACAGCCTTTCCCAGACTCCTCCTTACTGACTGGATCATCAGATGGATCTGCCCTCACTGTCCAGAGCCAAAGAGCCACATGACAGCTCTGTTGGCCTGGATTGGAAGGAAGGAAAGGTAGGGTCAAGTCCTAGGAAAGCTGGAAGTCAGTGAGAGCTGTCGTCCTCCCTGGTGCTGCTGAGTCCTCCAGCCTCCACAGCTCACCCGTCTCCTAGCCCCATCTTTCCTGCTTTCCACCAGAGAACACGATGAATCTTCAAAGCCCTGTTAGCCGAGGCTGATGGCATAGCCCGTACGCTACCTCACCACCCTTCCTAGTTTGTCGCTCAGATCTATTCTACCCTCTCTGCGGGATCTGTGCCGCACTGTCCCCAGTGTCCCCACAGCCAGCCACACAGGGCTGAGTATCTTCATTTCCCTGCTCCTTCAGAAGACCCCATAAAGACCAGACCAGCTGAGTGGCCTTAGAAAGGCTTGCTATTCTTACCAACATAACCGGAGCATGGTAGCAAACCCACGTGTGCATGCTTATTTTTCAAGATCAGGAACTTTCATTCCAACTATCAGCTGCAGCTCTACCCTATCGCAGTAGACCATCCCTTCCCTACCGAGTTCCCTTTGGCACGTTTCTTGAGTTCTAGGAGCCTCTGCTTCCTTCTCAGTGAAATGGAGAGGAAATAATGTCTGCCTCAGAGGGGTGTTCTAAGGACTTAAAACAGCTGGGTCTGGTAGCACAGGCCTGCAGTCTCTACTTGGGAGGTCGAGGCAGACCACAGCTTCAAGGCCAGCTGAGGCAACTCAGGGAGACCCTATCTCAAACTAAAAATACCAAAAAGAGGCTTAGCAGTGTAGTTTGGTAGTCGAGTGTAGAGTGCTTGTCTATAACATGCAGAAGCCGCTCATGACAGCACCCAGGACATGTGATAACCATGAGTGCACAGCAGTGTCTTCTCCAAAAAATGAGGCCAGGGTAGAATGGGTGCCAGACTACCTTCCAACCCCACAGTATTTCCTGCTCTTCATTCAACCCTCATAGGCAAAACAATTCAGATTTTACTCCAATGTGCAAGAAGCCTAAGCCCACCCCATGCTAACACTAACTCCAGTGCTGCCAAGCCGTGACTTGGGCAGCATGAGATAGTCACTGTGTTACTATCAGAAAACTAACTAACGAGAGCGTCTATCTGCAGGCTGGTCAACAGAAGGCATCCAGACAGGTAGGAAGGGGACAGCTGGGATTCTGGAGAGATGCTTCTAAAATAAGTAAAGGCTGCAACATCCAGCAAAGGAAAAGAGAAAGGAGGCTCGCTGAGGCCATGAGTGGGGTCAGGAAGTTCAGCGTGGTGGCTTTCATGTCAAAAACCCACTAGCCTCCATTGTCAAACTTCGATTATCATCTGGCCTCCCTCACGGTAGATACCTCTACAGTTGGTCACAAGTGTGAATGTCCAGATCCCCTTGGGGTTGTTTGTTTTTGAGATGGGTTTTGTTTGGCTTATATTTTAACACAGGGATGTTGCTCACACTGCACTCAAACTGGTAATCCTGGGCTGGAGAGATGGCTCAGCGGTTAAGAGCATTGCCTGCTCTTCCAAAGGTCCTGAGTTCAATACCAGGCAACCACATGGTGGCTCACAACCATCTGTAATGAGGTCTGGTGCCCCTTTCTGGCCTTCAGGCATACACACAGACAGATTATTGTATACATAATAAATAAATAAATATAAAAAAACTGGTAATCCTGCTATGTAAGCCACGTGCTAGGATTCCTCAGTCCTCATAACGATCGCCTGCCAGACCATAGAAGTCTGCATTCCTGGCATTGTTCGTTTGGCTAGTGTTAGGTGAGATGGATTTTCTAGGAACATCAGAGGTGGAATATGGTGTTCTCATCAGGGTGCTGTGTTCACACAGACACACCGAGCCACCAGCTATCTGAGTTCCCAAGTTGTAGAGCACTGGTCTGAGTCCTGGGGTCCCAGAGAGTGAGTGTCAGTCTTGCAAAGCAACATTGCAACACACACCTTCAAGTTCTGGCCAGTTCCCACGCTCAGCCTCACAGTCAAAATGAAAACCAGCACTGACCCCAGCCCTCCCATATTGGCAGTGGAACTCTACTTGTCGTGAGTGTTCATGCAGACCAGGCAGTCAGTGCCAGGCACCATTCTCCAGATCTGCCTCAGGTCTGTGAGAGCTGGCTGCTGGAGGAGAGGCTCTGCCCTGCTGCCCTGACCCTCCCTGAAACACTAAGACCTGCGGAGAGCAGAGTGAGTGCCCCTCCCGCTCTAGCCCTGTCATCTCAACACAGAGCGCCCCCATGAGTGGGAGCTTTAGACAGTCCTGTCTCGCCAGTTCTAAGATGCACCTGGGAAGCAAAGGCAGGGAGAGTAAAGTAGTCTTGGCAAATTCAAGGCCAGCCTGGGCTACAAAAGGAAAGAAAGAAATAAAACCAGGAGTCAAAAAAATAAAAAATAAAAAAAAAAAAAACCTGGGTTTGGTTCCCAGCTGTCCACATCTGCTGTGTGGATGGTGGGAACATCCCTGAAACTCTCTGGGTACCTGTCTCATGGGTAAAGGTAACCCTGCCCTCTGTTACATGCCTAGATGATCGAAGAGGCACTTTTCCATCCTAGAGCCATTTTTTATATAAAAATGTTGACTATATGTGATTTGGAAAGGAGACTGTACCAAACATTGATCAAAGAATCATCTGTGCCTTTTAAGAATAAGGCCTTTTATTTACGTATGTATTTACTGCTAGGGATAGAGCCGAGGGCCTTGCACGTTAGGCAAAAACTGCACTGAGCCCCAGCCCCACAGTACCGTCTGCCACCCTGATTAGATGAACAGATTTTAGGGGTCCGTCCATATTTAAGCATTAGACTGGTAAGTCTGAATGTCAGAGTTCTGAGGCATTTGCAGTGCCAGCCTGAACCCTTTCCCCACATCTGCACCTCAGCCTTAGGTAGTGAAGTAGCCCCAGGAAAGTGGGCTCTGGGGTGACACCGAATACCTGTCCCCAATTACAATATCAGAAGCTAGAAAGTGAACACAGGTGAGAACGAGATCGCTAAGCCTGTGACCTGCTGTACTCAGCTGGCCTTTAGGGACAGCAAAACCCAGGGACAAGCCTCTCTTACCTGGCAGGGCCACCTTCACCTCGGTGCTGCGGCTCACAGCCTGGCTCCCACGGTAGGCACTGCATGTGTAAGAGCCCTCGTCCCTGGGCCGCAGGTTGTGGATCAGCAGTGTGCCATCTGGAGACTGGTGCACACGGTGGCCATCTGCCTGCACTGGGAGTCCATTCCTGGAGGGAAGAGGACATTGGGAGAGCCATCCAGAGCTTCTGGGGGACGTGCCCTGGGAGGCCTGGGAGATAAGGAAGATATTGGCCAAGGCTATTCCAGAGCGAGCCTTCTCTCCCCTTGACAGCATGCCTCAGGGAAGTGAGGACAGGCGCTCTAAAGAGTAGGAGGACATTACCAAAGCCAAGTGACACAGCTGAGCACTGAGTTACCAGTTTGCCTTGGATCCACAAAGGAACCCACTCCAGCTTGTCACTGACAAATGCCAGGCAGGCCCTGTGTCAGGAGGAAAGGTACATGTACCTTCAGGGAGCCTTCCACAAGAAAGGGGCCAGCTGACCCAAGGAGGGGAGGCGGCAGCACAGCAGGCCAACAGAAGGCGAAACTAGGGATTTGGGACCTTGAAGACAAGCCACAGCCAGATCAAGGAGAACCCGCTGTGGCTCCAGCAAGGGTTTAAGCAGGCTCTGGGAGTGGCTAGAAGGCCTTGAGGGGAGTGGGGAAGAGAAAAGTGGGGGTAGTTGGTGCTTCCTGCATGTGGAGAAGATAGCAGAGCACCGAAGTAGACGCGGGTGAGGGCAGATGTGGGAGGCGGAGACGGTGACTCGGCTCGAGGGCCGCCTTCTCTTTCCCCGTGAGGGCAGATGGGTGACCAGGTCTAGCTCACTGGTGCCCTCCCAAATGGAAAGAATGACCAGTGAGATGTTTTGGACCTGGGATGCCTGTGAGAGCTGAAGCTGGAAAGTCCAGACTCAGAGTGTATCAGCACAGAATGACCTCTGCAAGTGCGTTACTCTAAAGGCGTCCCAGGTAAGAGCTGAGGACAGCGGGGAAGCATGGGAAAGGAGTGTTCTGAGAAGATCACGTGGCCAGTAGGGGTGGAGAGGTGATTGGGTGGCCTCTCTGGTGCAGTGTTCCCTGGATCAGGGGCTGGATGTAGGTAGAGCAGTGTCAGGACAGACAGCAAGATGTACAGCCATGCTATGAGGGGGGACACTGAACACTTTAGCCCCTGGCCACCCAAGTGGCAGCCGGACTCCATTGTCACCATCACTCGCCAGCAGGGCGCCCCCCTCAGGAAATACTTGCCTTTGACCACTTGTTGTTGCTCCCAAGAGCATCCTGCCCTCTCCTTACCCTCCCTGGCCTTGTCCTTAACTCTCTCAGATCCAAAGCCACACTTTCTTCTGTGTATAACCAGCACTTGGGGGGAAAACCTGGGCCAAGGCCACCTCTCAGCTCATAGTGCCCTGAGGCCCCCAAATCTCCGCAGATACTAACATAGGTTCTGACATGTTCTAAAGGAGTAGAGACAAAAGATAGTTGCTGAACTTAAATACACTAGTGTGCTCTGAAGTTGCAGCTGGAGAGATGGCTCAGCAGCTAAGAACGTGCTCTTGCAGAGGACCACGGTTCGGTTTCCAGCAGCCACACAGGAGATCCAACCACCCTCCTCTTTCTGACCTCCACAGCACCAAGAAAGCATGTTTTATATAAGCATACATGGAAGCAAAACACTCATAAGTAAATTTGGAAAAAAAAAAATCTCCAAAGCTGCATGCAGCCCTGTGGTTCTCAACATGGAGGAGACAGAGCCATGTCTAGAAATACTGTTCACTTTCTAACCTGGGCAGAGAGAGTGTGACTGGCCCTCGCAGGTGGATGCTCTAGATGCTGCTAAATATCTACCATGAACAGGCCTAAAACAACAAGCTTGACTGGCCCAATATTTCAATGATGCTAAGATTAAGAAACTGTAGTTGCTGAGTATGGTGGCATATACCCTTAATCCCAGCCCTCTGGAGGCAGAGGCAGGAGGATCTCTGAGTTTGAAGCCAGTCTGGTCTACACAGTGAGTCCCAGGCCAGTCAGAGCTACATAGAGAGACCCTGTCTTGAAAATACCAAAAGAAAAATAGAAATTAGGCAGGCAGTGGTGGTGCACCCCTTTAATCCCAGCACTCAAGAGGCAGAAGCAGGCGGATCTCTGTGAGTTCAAGGCCAGCCTGGTCTACAGAGCGAGTTCCAGGACAGCCAGAGCGACAGAGAGAAACCCTGTCTCAAACCCCTCCCCCAAAAAGGAAACTGTGTCACCCAGCTAGTAGAAACTGCCCTCTACAGCTTCATGATGTGGGATGAGGGTGCTTCAGCCTCCATCCCTGGCACCAGGCCTCAGAGGACGATGGCCTATGGTGACAGTGACATTTCTGACAGAATGAGGCAGAAAGAACATGTACCGGCTAAAATAGCACTTTACCTGGACCACCGAATGTTCACACTCTCTCCAGCCACCACACACAGAAGCCTGGCTGTGTCACCCTCTGGCACTGTCACCGAAGGAGGCAGGCCTGTGATGGTCAGCTCCCCTACACACAAGAAGACATTGTCAGTGGCTAACAGACCCCTCCCCCACTCCGCTGGAACGCCCATTCCCCCCTCCCCACTCAGCACTATTTTTTACCCAGAACTCGAAGCTGAACCCAGCGCTGGTCACGGTCCTGCCCATTAAATGCAACACAAGTGTAGAAGCCACCATCGTCCACGGTCACCCGGCTGATGACGAGAGAGCCGTCAGGCTGCTGCTGGTGCCTGGGGACCAAACACAGCCAGTTGGCTTTGACCCACGTAGGGGCTGAGCAGGGCCCCTGCTGCTCAACAATGGCTGGCCAAAGAGCAGCTGGCCTCAACCCCTCACACAGCCCCGCTGCCAACACTCTTACTTGACAAGGCTTGGCTTTTAAACTCAATCTAACAAAGCCTTTCATGTTCTCTGATTTAAAAAGTATTTGAGGTCAGGTGTGGTGTAATCCCAGCACTTAGGAGCTGGAAGCAGAAGGATTGCCATGAGTTTGATGCCAACCTGGTATATAGGTGGATCAGGCCGCTTGAGCTACCGTGTGATGCCCGATGTTAAAAAAACAAGAAGGGGGCTAGGGAGGTCACAGTTTGTAAAGTGCCTGCCTTGCAGGCGTGAGGAATCCGCATTTGGGGCCGGGAGAGGCAGGCAGGCATGGTGGGAGGGCGGGGCATGCTTGTAATCCCAGCACTGGGGAAACAGAGGATTCCCGGGCTTGCTGGCTAACCAGCCTCATCAGCTTGTCAAGCTCCAAGTCAATGAGAGACCCCGTCTCAAAGACACAAGGTGGATGGTTCCTAAGAATGATATCTAAAACTGACTTCTGGCATATAAACAGAAGCGCACATAATTCTGGATGTGGATGTGTAACATAATTTTATATTAGCTTTCTAGTTTGTATTTTGAGACAGAGCTTCACTGTATGGCCCTGGCTGTCCTAGAACTATGTAGACCAGACCGGCCTTAACTCACCGGAAGTCTACCTACCTCCCCTCCAGGGTGCTTGAATTAAAGGCTTAGATTTCTAGTTTTTGCCATATGCAAAATGGACTCAAACCCTGACTCTACGGTGAGCTGTGTGGCGTTGAGCTCCTGTGTGTGAACTGCTGACAAGAAGCACACGCTTCAGGATGGCCCCTGCAGCTTACACAGCAGTGAACGGGCCTCAGTGCAAAGTCAGTAAATAAATGCCAGCAATGGGGACCATCTAGGGGCATTCAAAATCGATCGCCCCACTTGGCTGGCCTCTCATTTCCATCAACCATACTTTGGAAATGCCTAGAGGCCTTGTGCTCCAAACCCCCTTTCTCCAGAGCCTGAAGTCCTGCTCTGGCCTCCATAGGATGTGTGGCTGGCGACAGGATGGTGGGGCAGGGGAGGGGCTGAATGAACCTGGGAGAAGAGACCAACTGCCCATCTCTTTGCCACTCGATGGTGGGGGCCGGGAAGCCTTCAGCACGGCAGGTCAGCTGGATCCGCTGGCCAGGACTGGCATCCACCACCCCAGGCTGAGTCCGATCCAGACGCAGCCTAGAAAATAAATTGTACTCAGCTTAAGGGGACCTGGCTGCTACTTCTCCCCATAAGAGTCCTCTGCATGAGCCCCTTTCTCCCTTTCTGGTCAGGGTTGGATCCCTAAAATTATCCCTTAGTCCCGTTTAGGACACCAACACTTATTAAGAACTGGGGAGTAAAGGCACAGCTGGCATCTACCGTGGTTGACTAAACCCAGTGTCCCTCTGCCTACCTTCTGTTCTGCATCTGCCGTCAGGCCCTGCCGGAGATGCTCCCTCTGCCCCCAAATCCACAGAGACAGAACCACCCCTCCAGGCCAGTTCAAGGCACCAGACTTTTCCAATTGTCACCTCTCCGAGCCCCGGGCACTGACTGGTGAAAACCCAACCCCAGCACCTGCTTTCCCTTATCGCCTATAGAGACCATGGACCATGAAGGCTCTGAATGTGTTGTGACATATTCAGAGAGCCTTAGGACATAGTGTGCTGTTACCTGCTGACAGGCCTGAGGTGTGGGGAAGAGATAGCCCCTGGGCCCCCAGCTTCTGCTCCAGAGTCCCGAGGACCATGGCCAGGGTCTGGATGCCTGGTCTGAGGGAACTGCCTTGGCTGGGCCTCGGACAACACTGGCATGTCACGCCCTGTCATGGACGAGGCCAAAAGAAGCAAGTATGAGCTTTGAGGAGGTGGCAATCAAAGAGGGGCCTGAGACCAGCAAAGCCCGGTGGGGACAAGAGGGTGTTGTCCCTGCACCAGGAGGAAGTGACCAAGGAAAAACTCAGGCCTTTCTCTGGTGGGTCAGGCCTCCCTCCCTCAGCCCTCCTCTGATTTGTGAGACCCTGGGAGGTAGAGGTAGAGGGGGTAGGACAGAGACCTGTCACTCGAAGCTGGATTTTCTGGGGGTCATGGCCTGGCCTGTGGCTGCCACAGCTATAGGCGCCAGCATCCTCTGGCCTCAAGGGGCTGATGATGAGGGAGCCATCTGACTGTAACTGGTACCTGATGGAGGGAGAAGAGGCATATCTCTGGGCTCTGAGTCCTCTGCCACCAAAGAAGACCAAACAGCCCCACAGCCCTCGGAGCCCTGCGCCTCCCAGGGAATGCCAGAGGGGCCTCCCCAAGAGAGGACACTGCACACAGAGATGGAAGGGAGCTGCTGCTCCCCGCCTTCTCCCACAGAGAGGGGACCGCGGTTTTACACCCACCTATCAGAGAAGAGGGTCTGGCCATCTTTCTGCCACCCTGTCTGGAACTCCGGGGAGGTGTTGCCAGGGCAAAAGAGCTGTACCGCCTGCCCAACAGATGCCTGGACCAGGGAGGGCTCCGAGCCTGCCACGCTGATCCTGGAGAGGTGAGAGGTATGGATCTGCCTCCTGGGGCCAGGTCTCCAGGGAACTGTCTTTTGTAGGCATTTGCAGGGCTAGAGTCCCATGGGCAGCTCTGTCTTCCCAACCCCGCCACACCCCTAGCCATTGCCCCTCAGAGAGCTGTGCAGCAGAACACGGCAGGCAGCCCAAGCAAGTAGGGGGAGGCTGAGGAGGGCCACACATGTCAGCTCATGTGGGGAGCCAACCAAGAGGCTTGGGCCTGGCAGCATGTGCTTTGGTTTCTTAAGTCTGTTTATTTCCCCAAACCCTGTGTTAATATGATGGAACAAGAGTGATAAATAACAGAGCCCATTATCAAAAGTTATGATATATTCCAGGAATGAAACATTACAGCCATGGATCAAGAAATTGAGGCTCTAGCCAGCTTTTCTACCTAGACAGAGACCTCAGGGTACAGTAGCTGAGGCATAGAGAGAATCTGCGAGCGGATACCTCAGCTAAGCCTACGTCTCCAGAACCTCAGCATCCCTGTCTGTAGCGTGATGGTAACAAAACCCACCTGGCTGGGCTGTCTGTCTAGGGCTCAACTCTAGCCTGGGTATCCATTGCCCTTACTTGGGAAGTAGGCCTCACCTGTAGGAGCTATGTGTGGGCAGCACTGGCGGTCTAGCATCTCTACCCAGCCCAGGGACTCTGGGCCGGAGGTCCTGATCTCCAGGTCGGCTTCCATAGGCTGGGGGGTAGTGCGCCTCCCCAGGCCCTGGCTCTTCTTCTCTCCGCCAAGGGCTTCCGGAAGGTGAGGGCAGTCTCGGGACTGTGGCTCTTGTCCTGTGCCAATCAGGTTCCTGCTGGCCTCCAGGACCACGCTGGCCACCGTTCATGTGGACACGATGCCCAGAGGCGCCTGCCTCAGGATGGCGGGGCCCAGGGTGCTCCCGGCAGCTAGCCATGCACTCCTGCTCCGATGCAAAGTTATTGGCATTGCCGTGGCAGCCGCCATACCAAAAGCGGTTACACCGGCCCACCGATGCCACAAAGTACCAGTGGGCAGCCCAGTCTCTGCACGATCCAGGAGCACTGGGCAGCAGACACCTCACTGGGTAGGCTGTGGAATGTGGATGGTACACGTCACCCAGGTGGCCAGTGGTCACACCGCCCTCTCCCCTCAGACTTATAGCTGTCCTGGTTCACGGTGCACAGCTCCACTCCTGCCAGGAACTCTGGCCGCCCCTAGGAGCCCAGGACACACCCAGGACCTGTGCTAGACTTGCTTCGGCTGGGTTACACCTTTACCTGTACCCAACTACAGTCCCCAGGAAGAAACGACCTTGAGCAAGCTCTCTCACGTCCTTCCAGCCTGGGTCTCTGGGTGTGCACACACAGGCCGGCTAGAGTTGGACTTCACTGTGGCCTCCCCTGAGGACTGTGAGCGTGCCCAGCAGATCTGCCCTCGCCCTCATCCTCAGGACCATGGCTCTAGTCTGCTTGCCCTCACGGCCCTACTGGCCGGCGTGGATAGCCTGCTCCATCTCTCCTTGTTCCAAGTGGCTGTGGCTGCCTGTCCCGATACCACCCCCTTCTGCCTTCTGCTGAGCCCTGGGCCTCCAGCCTGTTAGACTGTAGATGTGGATGCCCATGGCAGACCCTGGAAGCTCCACTCATCAATCACCCTACTCCAGCCCCTACTTTCTCTCTAAAACTCAGCTTCTACTCCTGGCACACCCCATCTCAGGCATGGGCAAGCCCTGCAGCACTGCCCACCTTGCCCTTCCTGACCCGCTGACATAGGTGGACTTGTTTTTTCTTGTGATCTCCATCTTTTTTTTTTTTTCTTGAGACAAAATCTTATTTATCTCAGGCTAACCTTGAACATGGTATGGAGCCAGGAATGACCTTGAACTTCTGATCATCCTGCCTTTACCTCTCAAGTACTGGGATTACAGACCTCTGCCACCATCTCTGGTTTATGTGGCACTGGAGATTGTACCCAGGGCTTCGTGCATGCTAGGCAAACACTCTGCCAACTGGGCTGCATCCACAGCCCTGGGAGCTCCACTTGTAACCCTCCCCAGCCAAGAACAAACATTGTAGATAGAGGAACAACCCATCAAAATCCTCTGCCCTGGTTATCTCGTGTATGCTCAGGTATTGGGGAGCTATGAATTAATGAGGTCTTTGGTTGTGGGTGGGGGAATGAGGACCCAGTGAGACTCCGGAGTCTACCCATCAGTAAGGATGAGAAGGGAGGACCCTCTCACCGTAGTTGGGTTGGCCCACACAGCCTTCTCCCAGAGGACCAGCTGCAGCAGCCACGTTGTCATAGCAACAGCCAAATTGGGACCCACGACAATCACTGGGTTCACCCTCATGGGCCTGCGGTTGATGGTGGATTTTAGGGACCTGAAGAGGAAGCCAGAGGTTGGGAAATTAGGAATAAATCTTGTTTTCAGCGGGGAGCTTGGGCTGTCCAGAGGAAGTATGGCAGGAAAAGGAAAGAGTCAGAGGTAGAGAGCCCCACCCAGGGGAGATTAGAGGCCACCCCTGAAGCCCCACTCTTTGAAAGGACGGCTAGGTTACCAGGTCTATAGGGTTCTCCCTTTCCCAAGGCTGAAGCTGCAAAGATCCCAGTAGCCCTGAGCTGTGTTCCTGCCTCGGGAACCACTTACCTTGGAAGCCACTGCCCTGGACCCTGGCCTGTTCCCGGTATTGTCACTGCCGTGAGACCTGGTGCAGCCAGCCTGATGGGGCCCCTCAGCTGCAGACACCCCATCAGGGCAGCATCCGTACCTAGAGAGCAGTACATGGCCACCCTCACTGCCCAGCCCTGCCCCTGCTCTCCCATGAGGCCTGGGGCCTAAACTCCCAGGGCAGAAGGGGACTCTGAGGCCGCTTATTTAGGAAGCTGTCTGGGGAGAGCCTGATCCTGTGCAGAGCGATACCGTTCTTCATTGCCCCAAGCTCTGCTCAGTCCCACTGCCACCCAACAGCTGCCAGGATGCATGGTGCACCTCCTATCCCAAAACCAGAAAGGGGAATGCATCTAAGCCCGGACAAATATCGACTTCCCAGAAGTTCCCGAAAAGATTAAAAAAAAAAAAAAGAAAAAAGAAAAAAAATTGATCTTCCATCAATTAGAGTTTCTGAAGCAAAAGGAAGGGAGAGAAGTCTCCCTCACAACCTCCATCAGCAGCCATTGCTCCTGACTCTCAGAAGAGGAAGCCAAGAGCCAAGAAGTCACTGGCCTCAAATCCCAGACCTACAGTAGCGCAGTTCCTCAGGGGGCCTGCACAAGGGAGGTCTCGGAAGAATGGAGCAGGCATTTGGCAGGATGGGGTGACTCAGCCCCTCCCTATTGGCAGAAGACTTGAGATGTGGCCAGCTTCATCCTGAGCTCCTGGGCCTGGCATGGACCTGAGCGCTGGCCCCACCTCCCATGTCTGCTCCAGGCCTCAGGCTACCTCTTCACAAGCTGGCCGCATCAGAAGCCCATCAAGAGGAAGGAAACCCACACATCCACCCAAAATGTCACAGTCAGGGTACCTCAGGAATTTCAAGCTGGGCAAACCTGCCCTGAGCAGGGACGCTGGCCCTGCCCAGCGCTGTCCAGTCCCACCTTTTTTCTCTCGCCTGCTGAGGAAGAATAGCTGCCCCAACCCACCTGCTCTGAAGACACAAGGCCCCAGCCAGGGGACAGCCTTGCCACTGTGGCCCAAGAGATGGTGTGTGGCCATCAGGGCAGCATCCATGGGGGCTGTGTCTGCAGTCACGGGGGCCTGAGTTAGGCCTCAGGGGTGAGCGGTGTGGAGGGTGCTGCAGAGTGGGGACCCGGCCTGCAGCTGACTGGTGGGGGTCTGGGCCTTCCCTGGGGTTACTCTGGGCCCTGGGTCGCTCCTGGGCAGTCCATCGCTGGTCTCTTGCATCTAATCAGGAGGGGGGAAAGACCACTGTGGGGCACCCACATTGCTCCTGCCCTCATCCCAAGTCCACCACCTTCCTAGGTCCCCACTCCCTCTAGACCACCGCCAGACCACCCCAGTGGTCAGGACCCAGCTTCTCACCTGAGACTGGGGACACTTGAGGGCCTACAGGCATCCTGGGGTCTGAGGGGTGGGTCCTTGAGTCCTGTATGCTAGGGACCTCTGTAGGGGACCAAGTAATAGGTGTGAAGGGCAGAACCAGAGAAAAACAACACCAGAGATAAAAGTCGACATCCCAACCCCTGAAAACACCCAGCAGAGACTTTGTGACTGTATCGGCCTGAAAGTCACAAAAAATTCCCTGCCTCGGCCTCTCAGGTGCAGGGATTCCAGGTAGGTAGCAACACGCCTGGCTCAAAGATTTCTTTCAGCTTTTCTCCGTGTCTGAGTTTTTATCTTGTCCAGCTCTGCTGTCCTGTTAGACTGGATGACTGTAGGACACTGGCCTAGCATGAGCCAGACCCTGGGTTTGAGCCCCAGTGCCCCCCAAAAGAGAAAAAAAATGGATTTTCATCATTTTTAGTAGTTAATAGTCTTTTCTAATCATAAAATAACATAGAAATTGGGTTTTTTATAAAGAGGAAAGGAAACCGGCAGGGTATCCCCAAAACAGCGCTTTCTTGATCGGGGCTTTCCTGCCCTTCCACAATAAGCAGTTTGCTGGAATAACTAACAAGGAAGACTAAGAACACTGCAGGGAGCGGCGGGTTAGTGGAGAAGGCATGTGCGATGCAGGGGTGAGGGCGGAGTCCCAGCACCCACAAAAAGTGCTCTCTGGGAGTTCCAGGTCAACAGGCTACATAGTGAGAGTCGGCCTTAGGAAAAAAGATAATTAAGATCTAATTGTGGGGAGGCTAAAAGATCACTGAACAGTTAAGAGCATTAGCTGCTCTTCCAGAGGATGTGGGTTCGAGTCCCACCCAGCACCCAAATGGTGGCTCATAACCATATGTAACTCCAGTTCCAGGGGATCCAATGCCTGGCTGGCCTCTGTAGGTTCCATGTGTGCACAAGGTGCATGGCTGAACATGGAAACAACATTACCATATGCATAAAATAAAATTTTAAATATAATTTTTAAAAATTAATTTAAAAAAACATTTCTAGGTCTAGTGTAGTGGTGCACACCTGTACCCCAACATTTGGGAGATGGAGAGACTTATCAGGAGTTCAAAGTCATCCTTAGCTACACAATGAATTTGAGGCCAGCCTAGGCTACATTACACCTGTCTCAATAACCAATAATGATAATAATAAAACATCACCCTGTCCCTTCTGTCCAGTGTCCAGGGCATCATACACTGCCCTTCTTAACTCATGGATTCCTGCCTTCTGCCTCCTGGGGTTCTTGAATCTCTTCTGTACTTCACACTGCCCCCTCCCAGTGTGGGCCAAATTTGCCTCTCCCTACTTCAGAATCATGAAAAGCCCAGTGCGCCCCCTGACCCTCCTCAAGGGCTCCCTTATGCTCAGACACGGTGCCCCGTGACAACCACAGACCGGACAGTCACCCTTGCTGCCCTTGTCCAGGAGAGAGGAGTCACACTTGCCTAGGGCCACACTGGAGTCACCACGCTGGTGACCCAAGCCAAGCTTGCCACTCCCCTGAGACCCTGCCACACAGCTACATAGGAGGCCTGTTGTCCCCACCTGGAGGTGCCCCATATGCAAGAGTCCCCACAAATCAGCACTTCAGAGACAAACCTACTTTTCTCAGTAGAGGCTGCCTGCCCTCCCTCCCTACCTCAGCCATGACCCCCCAACTGTCTCACACCCACACACCAAGCCCTCCCCTCAGTCTCCATGCCTGAGAAGCCGTCTTCCCCAGAGGAAAAGGAGTGAAGGGGTGGAGGGGAGGGTATGCCTTGTCTCTTCATTCAGCCATGCAGCAAACAGTTGAGTATAGGGACTAGGTAATGGGGTACAGGTATAGTACTCGGTACACCGGGCAAAGAGTATAGAGAAGACCAGGAAGCCGTGGACCTAACCCTTGGGGAGCTAAGAGCTAGCGAGAATAAGAAGCCATATTGGACCATGCAGGACAATAAAACGAATTTAAAGGCAGCACATATAACAACGCGCCGGGTAAACTGGAGGCTCATGGGGTTCTGTAGATGGATTTGGCAACTGCAAAGGCAGAAGAGGCCAGAGATGTGGGAAAACAGCCAGGGAAAGGCCCCAGAGAGGAGGTGCGCACTAAACAGGCAGCCAGCAAGGAAGGGGATGCACCCTCCCTGCCTTGCCCTCACCCTGAGGAAGATGGCAGGGCTGTCTGTTGCAGGGCTCCACCTCCGCGGGCTTGGACGACTGCAGGTCCCTACAGTGACCGGGCGGCCCAATGGCGCAGGTGACACGTCGCCTCCGGGTTCCCAAACCACAGCTTTTCGAGCACTGAGAGCCCAGGGTGGGTGAGAGAGAGAGAGAGAGAGAGAGAGAGAGAGAGAGAGAGAGAGACCCTGAAGCCAGGGACACCCTTGAAGAAGTGGGGGGCAGTGCTCTGCATGGGCATGTGTGTGGAACCTCCCAGGGCCCCAGGAATCAGGGCTGGACAGCAGGCATCAGGAGAGGTCCACACTTACTAGACTCCACACGCCCACATGCCAGGCCTGGCCACGGAGTACAGGACAGGCCTCTTGCACACAGGGCTCAGTGGGGGGTGGCTGGTCCTTCAAGGAGCATGCTGAGGCGTGGACCAGAGACTCCTCAGCATCCCGGCAGGTGACACTCCTCTTCCTGATGCCAGTTCCACAGGTAACGGAACACTGTAGGGACAAGCTATCAGCACAAAGGTCCCCCAGGGGAGCCATGCCAGCTGGACAGCTGGAGCCCTACCAGCCTGGCTTAGAAGGCAGATGGTGCTCTGCTGCCTTTCTCTCCCTCAAAAGCCCAGAGAGGCCAAGTCGCTGCTCTGAAGTCACACAGGTTGAAAGTATCATTTTTTTTTATTTATATGTATATACGTGTGTTTCCCTGTGTGTATGCCACTTGTGTGTGGGGTCCCTGTGAGGCCAGAGAGGTAGTTGGATCCCCCTGGAGCTGGAGTTAGAAGCAGTTGTGAAAAACCTGACACGGTGCCGGGAATCAAAGTCAGGTCCTTCTAGAAAAGCAAAAAGCGTTCTTAGCCACTAAGTGGTCTCCATAGCCGCCACGTCCTGCTTTTGGGTGCAGGAGGCAAAGCTTCCCTCACCTCCAAACACACCCAGCTCTGTCTTCCAGTCAAGACAAACCCTTTCCCACCCAGCCCTGGGATGCTAAAGACAGGAGAACCCTGGACCAGAGTCTCCAAATGCATCTCATCCCAGCTTTGGCTACATCTTTCAAGATGACCAGCGAGATCCCTTTGCCTCTCAAGACCTAAGTAAGCTTCCTTCCACACAGACGACAAGCCTTTCAGCCCAGGCCTGCTGCTACCCAGGCCCAAGACACAGATCCTAGTCCCGGGCAAGGCCTCACCTCTCCCCAGGGCTCCACACTCCAGGCTGCACAGTGCTGCAGGTTACAAGCCTGTGTGGCAGGGGGCTTTCCAGGTAGACCAGCACACTGGATCTCCTCGGCAGCTTCCTGGCCTCCAGCCCCATCTGAGGAGACGCAGTAGACAGGCCGAGACTGGAATCCACCCCCACAGGAGACTGAGCAGGGTGTCCACGGTCCTACCTTCCAGCTGACAGGAAACGGAAACAGGTCAGCCTGGCGCAGGGGGCGCAGCTCCCCAGCGTGAAGTGCACTGGGGCCCCACCGCACCCCACCCAAGAACTCTGTGGAGAAACCACCAGCCAGGCCTTTCTAGGCATCCCCTAAAGGGTCTGTTTAACAGACAGCCTGGCTGCTGCCCCTTGGCTTTCATATCTGTGCCCCAACTCTTCCTTTTCTCCTCCTCACTGGGTCCTGGCATCCCAGTCAGATTCCATCCCTTGCCGTCCTGTGGGGGGGCATCTCCAGAACGGCTCTGCTCCTAGTATGTGAAGAAGCCCTGCCTGGCTAGTGGTACAAGGGCCAAAGGAAAGGGAAGCCCCAAACACACCATGCAAAGACAAGCCCACCACCGTCTCACCAGGCCAGGAGAGTGAGGGTACCAACACCAGCCCTCCGGGAACCCCCTGATCCACGGATTACCTGTTCCTACACACATGCTGGGCCCCAGAATGGCGCCACGCTCCCGGCCGGTGCAGGAAAGAGACCCTTCGTGCACGAACAAAGGCGTTTGCCAAAGTCTACTGGCCCTTTGGCCAAATTACTGCCTCACCCCTAGTCATCTGTGTGAGCCCCCTGTTGCCTCAGACAGGGGACCCTCTGGTACTGTCCCCAGTCCTCCTGCTCCCAGTCTATGCATTCCGATTCTGTGAGGAGACCCAGGAATAGAGAGAACGCTATTGGGCCTCATGCTCAGGCTCCTTCACTGCCTCCCTCAGGTACAGCTGTCACCTGGTGTGAAGAGCGCCCCCTGCCCCCTCTTCCACCCTATGCCTAAAACAGTGTAAGAGCGCCCCTCCCTTCCACCCAAGTTCTTGGGCTCCACCATAGGTGGAAGGGGCTGGCAAGGCCTCACCGCTTGGTCTTTGGGCAAGGGTGAGGATTACAGGAACGTCGGTGGGCGGGCCGAGGCTGGTGTTGGCACATGTGGTCCGGGTAGGCTTCGTTGTCAATGGTACAGAACACCAGGCGAGACTGGTGACCTGGGGGGGCGGGGGCAGAGCCACACAGAGCTGCAGGGAGACCAGCTCTCTCCAGATGAGCTCTCCAGTGGGGCACCTTTCAGGACTAGATCCATAGCTAACCCCGAGTAAGTCCCTCGCATCCTTCTGTGGCAGGTACCACCATCATAACCAACTTACAGAGGAATACAGGGAGGCTCAGAGAGCCTTAGGGGCGAGTGAGAGACCTTCGTCAGGAACCACAGTGGGCACTTCCTCCTAGGAGTTCTCCCTTATCCTGGCAAGTTTCAGCCCTTCATGGGGATGGCTAACCTAACTGTCCCCTCCCCCAGACGCTCGTGTTCACCTCCTCCGCACTCAGCGCTGCAGTCGCCCCAGGAGCCGTGGCTCCAGCTGAAGCCTTGGCCGAGGTCATTCAACGGCAGGTAGTACTCGTAGTGCACGCCGGGGTTGGGTTCCTGGCTGAGGAGCTGCAGAGAGTCTTCGCTCAAGTCCCCCTGCCCGGGCCCGTGGAAGCCAGAGCAGCCCACCCGTGCAGGGTTCACCTCCCTCGGGGCCTCACTCACCTCGATGATCAGGGGCTCTGAGGTGGGGCCCCGTGCCTGGAGCCGCTCAGGGGCCAGGTCCCCTTCCACGCCCCTTTCGTACTGTAGGACTGTGCTGGCCACTGGCAGAGCCTGGGCTGCCTCAATGGTCCAGTGCCCGTTGAGGTAGTATTCTCCATGGACGCTCTTCACGGCTGTGGAGACCCCGCTTGTCAGGGGACGTGGGACAGCCAGTCACCTCTGAGCCCCAGCCTGCCCAGTTCCAAACCATCTCTCACCCAGGAAATTTCTGCTGGCCGCAGCTTCCTCGATGCGAATACTGGTGGCCCCCGCAGGAATGATGAAGATTTGGTTGTAGCCTGACGGGGACAAGATTCGGGTGAGGGGTGCTGGTTTGCTCCTGGGACTTCTTGGGGAGAGCGCTTTTGATAGAGGAACCAGCTTTACACGGGTCGTGGCAGTGTGGGGGTGGGCGCAGACTCTAGACACCTGACATCTTAGGGGGAAATGAGACAGCATGGGGGCAGGGACAGGTGGGAGGGCTGAGAGTGGGCATCCAGTATCAGCAGTGTGAGATTAGATTGCACAGGTGGGCAAGAGTCCCAACCCAGGAGAGGTACAGCCACTGTCTTGCAGTCACATGACCTGAGTCAGATCGGCTGAGTGCCATGAGATTGCTTGGCCTCAAGCCTTGGTCAGAGAAGGTGACAGGCGAGCCAAGGCAGGCCACAGACCCCTTCAGAGCCCGCTGTGTGACCCCACCTCTGCTGAGGTCATCAGCGTCAAAGGTTCCTGTGACCGGGTAGCAGGTGGAGCCATCACCCCCACACTGCAGACACTTGTCCTCCTGCTTGGTCGAGTCTAACTTGTGATCGCAGCCAACAACCTTCAGGGGGAAAAGGGAAATGACAGGGCCAGGTGAGAGAGGAGCGTCGTGGACGTAGCTCCAAATGTCCCAAACAGGACAGGTCAGGTCCATCCTGACTCCTGCTAATCACTCCCAGTCTTCCTCTGGAGGCCATGTCTCTCCCAGTTTGGATGGAATGCCATAAATGTGGGTTTGGGCATGCCCAGAGGTTTGTTGCTCTCCTTTCCCCAGAGAATGGTGTAGGTGAGCCCAGGCTAGCAGGTCAGGGAGCTGGGGCTCCTAAACTGACAGGTTGGTATGCTAGAGGCTTGGAGCTGCCATCTTGTGGCAGGTTCATGGGAAGAGCCTGCACGAGCCAGAAGCTGACTCAGAAAAGAAAGCAAGAGATGGAGAGAGAAATGTCTAGGCTCTTTCGTGGCCTACAGCTTTCGCTTCACATTTGGTTGGGTTTGGTTGAGGTCAGCCTTCAGCCATCTAAACTTTCTCTCATGAGGTTAGTGTTCTCTGGGGCAAAGTTGCGGTGGTCAGGGAACATCTGTAATGACCGCATTGCATTCTGGGTGCTAGTGGCTGAAGAAGCCACCAAGCTTTTGACAGCCACTTGGTCCTGCTGGGGCCGGAAGACACCGGTCATAACAATCCCCAGTCAGTTTGGAGGCCGGGTAGGGGCATAACTCACTCGGCAGACGCCGTCCACACAGATGTCCCGCTTGCCAGGCTCGCAGGGTGTCCCGTCCACCACGGCCTCCCTGTGCTTGTAGTAGAAGTTTTCCCCCTTGGGAATGCAGTTCAGTTCACACTTGTTTGGGGCTGGGTAGGCAAGAGGAGAAGGCTGACATCCTGACCCAAAAGTGTGGCTTGAACCAAAAATGTCTCCCAGAGGCTCACATATTCGAACACCTGGTCCCTAGCTAGTGGCGCTGTTCAGGGGAGTCTTCCAGGAAGAGCGTTGCTGGGGGTAGGCTTCAAAGCTTAGAGCCTCGCCCGCTTCGGGTTTGAGTTCTCAGCCAGATTCCCACTCCAGTCTCCAGTCATTATGGACTTGCTCTCTGGAGTCATTAAGCCCAGAAAAACTCCTTTTACGAGCTACCCCTCAGGGTGTTTTACTACAGCAACCACAAAGTAAGTAAGTAACACCTAAATATCTGTTGAGGGCTGGGTGGGCAAGAGGGAGAAGCCGAGAACCTAGCTCATGGCTTTGTAAGAATCCCCCAGGGAGGTGTAGGCAGCAGCCGAAAGTACACTCTTTCTCTTGCCAGGAGAGGGGTTTACAGCAACACCCCACCCCCAACAGCACAGAATCCCACCCCTCTCCCAGAGAGAAGGGATATTCTCTGCAAACCGATTTGCATCTTGGAGACCAAGTCAAGCAGCAACCTCTACAAAGCTCCATTCTTCATATTATTGCTTTATTTTGTTTTGCTTTTTTTGAGACAGAGTTTCTCTGTGGAACAGCCCTGGCTGTCCTGGAACTCACTCTGTAGACCAGGCTAGCCCCTAACTCAGAGATCCGCCTACCTCTGCCTCCCGAGTTCTGGTATTAAAGGCGTGCGCCACCACCTGGAAATTGTGTTGCTTTGAGATGAGGTCTTGGGTGGTGATGGCGCACGCCTTTAATCCCAGCACTCAGGAGGCAGAGGCAGGTGGATCTCTGTGAGTTCGAGGCCAGCTTGGCCTACAAGAGTTGAGGTCTCTACGCCAGGCTAGCCTTAAGGGAAGGGCACAGTGGTGCACACCTTTAGTCCCAGCAAGCGATCTCTGAGTTGGAAGCCAGCTTGATCTGTATAGTGAGTTCCAGGACAGACAGAACTACATAGGGAGACTCTGCTCCCCCTTCCAAAATAAATCCCAAACCAGGATGGCCTTAAACTCCCTGTACGTCTCAATGACCTCAGAGAGCCCCAAAGTGCTAACAAGATCATCATCCTGTCTACAAGACAACCAACTGTATAATCTTTTAAGATTAAAAAATTAAGATTAACTATTTGTTTACATGTGTGCATTCATGTACATATAAATGCAGGTGCCATGGAGACCAGAAGAGGGCTTGGGATCCCTCAGGACTGGAGTTACAGGTGATTGTGAGCCACCTGACATTAGTGCTGGGAACCAAACTCAGGTCCTTGGTAGGTCAAGAGCAGGATATCTGAACAACTGACCCATCTTTCCACTCCTCATATCATCATCAGTGTGCACGAGTGTGTGTGTGTGTGTCACAGGTGAGGGTGGGAAGCTAGAGAAGAAGGTATCAGATTCCCTGAAACTGGAATTATAGATGGTTATATACTGCCTGACATGGGTGATTGGAATCAAACTTGTGTTCTCTGGGAGAGTGGCTAGTGCTCTTAACTGCTGAGCCATCCCTCCAGTCCCATGTGAAGGTTATTTTTAACATATTTCTCAGGAATACTGTATGCCAAAGGGCACGGGGGGGGGGGGGGGGGGCACTTCTCTGACCATGGTGACACCAGAGCCACAGAGAGGACAGAGTTCAGTACTGGAAATCAGTGTGCAGGGTCTCTAGGGATCATTCGTGGAAAAAAAACAATGCCCCAGACTTTTTCTGAGGCTTGATATTTTTTTATGTTTAATTTATTTTATTTTTTAGGCGAGGCATCACCAAGTAGACCAGGCTGGCTTCGAACTCCTGGAATTCAACATATAGTCCAAGCTAGCCTTAAACTCCTGACGTAAGCACTGAGGTATCAGGTGTGCGCCACCACACGAAGTTTTGGTTGTGCTAGGCCCTTGCACACGCTAGAAAACCATTCTGCCATGGAGTGAAACCCTAGCTCCTAAGACATCTTTTGGCTATTCCAAAACGATTCAGATTCATTCTCAGTGGTGTTCTTTTCCTGAACCCCATATCCTGCATTTCCCCAGACTACATGCAGGTCTGGGTAGTTGGGTACCAAGTTCTTTCCTGACTTTGGCAGTCATGGCCCCAAGCAGCACTACGCCTCCATGCGGCCCCTTATTCCACAGATCTGTGTGAACAGGGCGAGAAGCTTCAGAACTGAACAAAGCTAGGCTGGAGTCAGACACACCAAAGCTTCAATTTTGAAAACGCATATGGAGGAGAGAAAAGGTCCGAAAGAATTCACACCACGCTCATTACTGGGTTAACGGGCGCACTAAGGACCACGTCATTGTCCAAGTGGCAAGGCATCTTTGAGAGGTTATAACTTTCGGTGTGCTGCTTGGGAGGCAGGGGTGGAACCAGCAGAGCAGGGTGGTACGCTTACCAGCATAGTAGGGCAGCCACCGGTAGCGCCGGCCCTCAAAGTCGGTGCCATCGAACTCTGCGCACTGCTCAGCCCGGAAGTCCCGCATGCTGTCTGGGCAGCTCTGCGTGAGAACGTGGGTGCCAACGTGGGCACCAGGGAAGTTGCCATCCTGCCCTATCCGCCCTCCATGTTCTGGAGCCCTGGGGTCCTACACCTCTGTCCCATTCGCCGTCCCAGGAGGGGCTACCAGCTCTCCCCCACCCCCAGTGCCTGGTGGGTTCCCAGAACAGGCTAGGATGAGGCTTGGAGGTGGGACCGTGGGAGTGGGGCGGGGCCGTGGGGAGCAGGGCCCACGCAGGTTTTACCTCGGTGTGGCAGGTGCGGTGACTGCGCGCGGGGCCCACACAGCTGGCGCCTCCATCTCTCCTACGGGGCAAGAGCACCGGGAAGGCCTCAATGTTCCCACCCATCCCTGGGCCCTCCTGGCCCCTCCGCGGAGTCCCCAGATGGGCAAGGCTGGACCAAAACCCGAGGCAAGCTGAGGAGGGGTGGGTGGAACCTGTTTGTACTGTTCTTAGGCTGATTGTCCCTACCCTTGACCTGACTCCTGGCCACAAGGCCCTTGACCAGCACATACTACACCCCCACTTGAGGGTTCAATCTTCGTCTTAATAATAATATTCCAGGATATTTGGAGTTTTGGGTTTTTTGTATGTTTATTTTCTGAGACAAAGTGCCAGGTTGACTCTGTCGCAAAGGATGACCTTGATCATCAGGCCTCTGCCTTCCTAGTGCTAAGATTACTGTTGCCCACCACACTTGACAGGATCTCAGGAAACAGTTCACAAACCCACCAGTAGGAGGCGCCTCATTACCTTTCCTTCGAACCTGACCACCTTCCTGCAGAGCCCTTCTTAAAACAATGCTCCTAGTAAATTCTAAAATCACTTGCCGGGGGAAGGGTCCTCTGCACTTGACAAAGCAGCCAAGGGCAAAGAAATCACAGCAACTAGGAACTGCGGACTGACATTCACTGGTGGGGACATGGACAGCCAGCCCTGAGTTTTTGCCTGTCTAGAATGGAGCAGCTCTATCCCAGTCAGTAGAGTGCTCAGACCCAACTAATCATTTACACAGGTCCCGTAAAGGCTAAAGAGACTTAATATGGAGCCAGGCATCCGTGGCCTGCAGGTGAGCCAAGAATAGGATAAAGGGCTGTGAGGTATTGACAGTTGCCTTTGGTTCTGTAAAACCAGCTTGTAGCTATGAAAAGGGGATGAAATGGCCTCTTTGTTACTCTATAGTGGGAAACAGCTGAGGGGAGTAAAACGCTGTTCCTGCCTGACTGAGGGTTCCATGGACATCTGGAATGTGCGTCTTTCTGATGTCCACCTTAAAACCTCTCACGGTAACTGCCTTCCACATGGCAAGCTGTATTGGCTCGAAGAATGTTGCCCTTCTGCCAAGAGTAAGAATAAATTAACACAACTAATCTAAATTCTAGTTGAGTCTAAGTTCTCTGGTTACTCCCAGTGGATTCGAAAGCCACAACACGTCAGCTCTACAAATGAAGCCCCCCCCAACCCCACCCCCATGCGCCAGGCTCCACGGGGAGGATGCAGACCTGGCCCAGCTCCTCTCAGTCTAGGCTGAGTGTTGGAATCCGAGGTGAGTACACAGGAAAAATCGGTTTTCCTATACACATCATCACTCTTCCACAATGAATCTGTCACACAACGGCCCTGACGTCAGGCTCCCCACCCAGCAGCCTGACATTCCTCACTTGCCCTTTTTTTAAGGGGCTGGCAGGTTGTATAGGTCCCCTCCCTACCTCTGGGAGTAACAGGGGCGCTCCCGGAAGCTGACGCCTCCTCCACAGGTCCGGCTGCAGGGGCTCCACTCGCCCCAGACGCCCCAGGTGTCACTCTGCCGCCTCACATTCCGAGCCTGTGGAAGACACGGGCTGTACCTCATCATCACCCCTACGCGCACGCACTTGGGACCCAGAGCTCTGCAGAGATAGATGCTCCCCGACCGGTTCAAAGCACCTGGGGGCTTCCTGTGCCGCCCGTTCAGGACACAGAAGCGCCATCGGGTACTCCAAAATGTTCATTGCGAACTTAAGATGCCTTCTGAAGGAGTGGAAGAGCCAGCCTAGGTGTGACTGGGCTCAGTCAGCTGGGAAGAGCCTGCAGTTCCAGGGGCCCTGGGGGAGGGGCCCTGCAGCCAGTGCAGGCATTTGTGGGTCAATTCTAACGTGGAAGGGGGGAAGGAACCTAGGACGAGGGTACCTCGATGTCTTGTTTTGGGCCCTCGCTACTCAGCTGTGGTCTACTCATCTAGCAAGACAACCACATATTCTGGGTGTCTACCAGACACGGCGTGGAGGGCGTGGCCAGGGGGCGTGGCCGGGAAGAGGCTGTCTCCCCTGACAATGCTATGCTTGGCAAGTGCAGAACTTGGATTGGTGTCCCTTAAATGGATCCTGTGGATCAGCAGACCCATCCTTTTCAAGAGAGACCCATATGGGATGGGAAAGATCACCACGGCAGGTCCTCAGGTAGGTGGGAAAGATCACCACGGTAGGTCCTCAGGTAGGTTACACTGTTCAGAGAGTGTAACCAAGGCAGGACAGAACGTCAGTCGACTCCCCTGGAGAAGAGCCACCCCAAGCCTGTTGTACCACTTCTGCTCCGAATGTGAGCTCACTTCCAGAAACTTCTATAGTTCTGGCCTATTAAACTAGAACCTAGTGTGGGCTGGGTAGGGGGACTACAGTATTTGGGGTAATCTGTGTCAGAGACTCCCAGGGGTACCCCATTATTATTTCCCCCAGCCCTTATAAGAGAATCTGAAAACTTGACTTTTTGCACAATGCTCAGAACTCTTAGTTTCCCGTAGCTTACCGGCCCCAGCCCTCAGATCCTAAGTCTTATCAAAGGCACACAAACACACACACAAGTGCTGGTCAGCAGTCTCGAGTATTTTGCGAAGAGACAGTGCGCATGGCCATGTCTTCCTGGCCCTCCAGCAAGCCTTTCTGCTGGAAAACCTGCTGTAATGGCTAGGGTAGGAACAGCCCTTTAGGTTGGCAAACGACTTCGGGATAAAGGCTTCAAACAAAGTGAGGATCTCGTGAAATGAAACAGCTCTGAACTTCCGACCCCTGAGTGTGTATGTGAGAGGTAGAGAGTTAGACCCAATCTGCCTTGTTGAGATTACACAATGGAAATTCATTATGGATGACACCCTGCAGCCAGCATCCCATGGACGCGTGGTACACACATTCTCTCATCTAATCCTTGTAGCCTAATGGCTCTCAAGGAAGCCGAAACACTCCGTGCCTCACCGCTCATCCTAGGGCTGTGTCCCCACCTGAGACACTGGATCCTAAAGGGCTAAACAAGGGTGCAGAGAGGCGCCCAGTAAGCATGTCTCGTGCGCTGAAACGGGAGTTTATTTTGAGGTGTCACTGTAAGAACTTAGAAAATGGAACTCCTATTGTTCAGAAAGAGGCCAAGTGTGAACAAAGAAAAACAAGCCCTTTCCCAACGTGGAGCCTTCTGGTTAGCCAGTCTGAGGCGAGCAGGGATGTTTGCTCATGCCTAACATCAACTATTTCATTACTCTTAGTTTTATAGACCACAATTCAAAAGCAGAGCAAACCGCACTGAACTTGCTAACCACACACAGAGCCAAGCACAGGCCAGCCAGACCAAAGGTCTTGCTTCTCATTGTAAATCATCCACTCCAGTTCCAGCCAGAACAGAACCTCCAGGCTTTCCAAACCAGTGAACCAAAATGCTCAGGTATTCTGGCAACAACACGTAAACTGGTTTTATTCGGCTTGAGTTTCTGTTTTGAAGGGGAGCGCTCCTTACTGTGTGGTTGGTGTTGGGGTAACATTCCAGGCTGGAGTTCTGGCCCGTGTGACCCCTCAAGCTGTGCTGCCATGTGCTTGTTTGTTTGTTTTGTTTTCAAGACAGGGTTTCTCTGTAGCTTTGGAGTCTGTCCTGGAACTAGCTCTTATAGACCAGGCTGGCCTCGAACTCAGAGATCCACCTGCCTCTATCTCCCGAGGGCTGGGATTAAAGGCATGTGTCACCATAGCCTGGCTCTGCCATGTGCTAAGTACTAGAAGGTGGCCCTTGTAGACCGGCTGCCCTCGCTTGCCTGGCTAGTGTTGACCTTGCTCAGCATCTGTCTGGATGCTGTCTAGGCCCCTTGGAGCAGCAGCCCCCAGAAATCCGGCTGTTCTGGAGGCAAGGTAGGGACAATTCATGTGTCCACAGCAATAGGGGATGCTCTGGCCACAAAGTCATTCTAGGATGTCTGACAGGTAGGGGAATGGTCTGAACTTAGGGCTCTAAAGATGCCACACTCCTGCCAGGTGCCTTTTACAGACATTCCTTGCTTCCTGTGACCAGCACCTATAGGCAGAGGCCCCCTGCCAGTGCGTGGCTGTAGCCTAGGTCTGTGCAATACTGAACCACGCTCCCTGCACAATTTCCACACCCATCAGGCCTTGAGCCGCAAGCACGCAAGCACGTTTTGTTCTCCATAATTATCTAAACCCCCAGCTGTGCGGTGGTATGAAGCCAGGAGTTGGTGTGGCCCAACCCTGCTCTGGGCCTGTTCCTGCCTGTCTCAGGCTGCTGCTCTCAGCACCCCACCCTTTGTCCTCCAGCTCCCGGCTCAGGAGCCCCCTTTCCTACCTGTCCTAGAAGACTCTGGGGCCTGCTGTGCACCAGGA